CAGACTACCGACATTAGCTAGACTGCTTGGCGACAGATGATTTAAATGACAGGATGATTTTTAAGGAAGAGGGGAGGGGAGATAAACCTTTGGAATATTGCCAATATGAAGACTGCCAACCATATCCCGAAAGCAATTCCACTACCAGCAAATTACGGAAAGAAACTAGCCTAGATAGTTCTTCGCAACTAAGACACATCATTTATCTTGCCACAACTCACCACAGACAAAAAAAAAACTCGTTAGAACATTGCTTAAAGTCAAAACAATTCGATGGATTCAAGATTGCTTAGCTGTATTTGCAATTGAGTACGATAGTAGAAACTTCTTGAAATTTCGATTTTTTTTCTTATTAAAAATTGAGACATTCATGTATTCGACAATACCCAATACTTTCCCAATTTATTTTTTCATCCTTAAAATAAAGTTTTCTTGCGTATTCAAAACTGTCACCTAATAGGAATGAAAACATTTAAAAGAATCGAACAATTGTCAATAAAATTGAAATTAAACGCAAGAAAATAACTACCTATTAAGAAAACAATATTGCAGTTTATTATTATTCTTACATTATTTAAATATTCAGTTCTATGAGTATTTGAAATACAATACTTTTAGTTTGGTAAAACGCATACAAAAAATTCCGCAAGTCCATTTCCCTCTTTTATAAATACATAATTCAATGTATATACTTTTTTTCCCTTCACGATATTTTTTTGAATAACAAAAGTTCCTGCATTTATATACTTCTTGTTCTAATATAAACTTTTGACTTTTTCATTTAGCGAGTGCCAAAGGGAAGAGCTTAAAAAATTCTTGATTAGATACAATTTTAAGAGAAATATTTGCCGAAGTTAAGAGTATTAGTTTTACCAAACCCACTATTGATTTGATAAAATGTAATCATACAAAAGTCCCAACAAGAATCAAACGCTCTTTAGCTGCATTTCGATTGGATAAACGTCTTTAATCCTCAACAGATGGCAGCACCATTAGTAAATATTTTAATAATACATGGTAAAAAATTTAATTTGCGCATATTTTTTTCATTACTCTGAAGTGAACATGAATGTATAACTTCATTACAAAAAGGAATCTCAAAAATATATTCAATTCAAGAATTTATAACTTAAAAATTCCTAATTTACGAAATGAAAAAAATACTTATGAATAATAATCTTGTATTTCTATTCTTTAAAGAATATTGTAAAAAATTATATAATTGCATTAATCAGCAAGATAAAAGTAATCATTGAAAAACTCCACGCTCGATATTAGAATTTGTTAAGGGGATTATAGAGTTATATAATCACGAAATCACAATAAAAGTTTCAACAAACATTTCTAAACTTGATATCAGAAAATGCATGCAAAATATTTAAGTTGAAAGGTTTGAAAAACAACGATCCCTGCTTTCCAAATATATACTGTGTATTTCTATTCTCATAAAATTTTAAATATAAAAAGTT